TCTTTAACACTATCAACAAAGGGATAGTTTGCACACTTGAGAGGTTATGTAAAGTCAACTGAAATCCAAAAGAGGCTGTTTTGATGACCTTTGGGTAAAGCAGCCTCTTGTTACGTGAGGAACATGGATGGGACCTAGGATTTTATTGGCATAGGGAACTCCCAGATGGGGAAACTCCCTCTACCAGTGCAGGTCAACATCTTCACTGCAATTTAGTCTTAGAAAGTTGCCTAGGTCACCGAGAAGTTAAGGGATTTGTCCAGGATCGCACAGACAGTATCTGTCAGAGGTGAGACCTGGACTCGGGTCTCCCTGACACCAAGGCCAGCTCCCTAACCACTAAGCCATGCTGCCTCCATGTGAGAATCTTTCAAAAGTTCCCTGACTTCCCCTATACAGAGACATACATAATCACAGAAACTCAGAGGTTGTCTAATCCAGCTCAAGCCTGATCTAGAATACCTTTACAAGGAAAATGTCAAACACACCACCCACAGACCAAAGGGCCCCCTGAGACAGATTTAAATGTAATTAGGAAATACTTAACAAAATAAAAATAAAACAGAATATAGATAATGTTAATATGTGGTTTTCTAAGTCAATATGCCCCCTGCAGGGATCCTTATATATAGTTTAGTAACTTTCTTTCTATTGGAGTTTGACCCCATTGTTCTACAATATCCCTGACCCAGGATGACCGATCACTGCTTGCATACTTTGGGTGACAGGGAACTTACTGCTTCACAAGACAATCCATTCCACTTTGGGAATAGTCAGTCATTTTTTCCTTGTATTGATTTGAAATTTGCTTCTCTGTAATTTGCACCCTTTACATCTACTTCTGATGCCATGAGGCCCACTAGTACAAGCTTTAGCTCTCTTCTAGTGAAAGTCCCTTAAACACTTGAAAACAGCATTCCTGAATCCCCTAAGCCTTCTCTTCTATGAGCTAATTATCCTCAGTGTCTTCGTCTAATTTTCACGTGGCATGATTCCCAGTACCCTCTCCAGCCTAATCAGTTTCCTCCAGATGTGTTGATCAATGTTCTTCCTAAAATGTAGTACATAACTGAGTGCAATACTCCAGATATGTCCTGATTCAGGCAGACTATATTGGGACTGTGTTTTCTCTAAATCTAGGCACACAGGGAGATGTTAATTCATTCATTTATTCAACAGACATTTCCCAAGAGCTTAATATGTGTCAAATTCTATGCTCATAGGTGGATAGTCATGGGGAAAAGTCCCTGCTCTCAAGCAGCTGATAGTCATGGGTCTGAAAGGACCTTAGTGGTTACCTGGCCCAACACCCTCATTTTACAGATACAGACGCTGAAACCAAGCAAGACTGTGAATTACCCAAAGGCACATCTTGAGTTAGTAGTGGGATTGGGTTGAGAACCAAGTAGAACTTTTGGCTCTGTGCTCTTTCCTCTGAACTACACTCCCTTATCTATCAGGGCTTGTAAACAGATTGCAGAAGCCATGACAATCAATGAACTCTTAGAATACAGAGTCATATTATCCAATAGATTCCCTAGGCCTATAGGCCTTCATATAGTATCATAGATTTAGAGCTGGAAAAACTTCAGAGAGTATGTGGTCCAAGCCCTTAGTTTTGTAGACAAGGAAATGAGGACTAGAGAGGTTGTCACCTGCTACTTATTTAGGTTAAACTACTGTCTTATCCAACCTTTGACATGTAATTTACTTACTAGATAATTATTCTTGTTCCCCTCCCTTAACTATGTGCCCTACAGCTCTGTCCTGGGTCCTCTTTTCTTCTTCTAACCCTACACCCTCTTTCTTAGTGATCTCATTATCTTTGATAGGTTCAATTATCATCTCTATGTAGATGACTTCCAGATTTGTATATTCATTCTCTCTCTCTCTCTCTCTCTCTCTCTTGAGCTTCAGTCCCACATCAGTTGGTCAGTTAGGCATTTCTAACAGGACATCTCATGAACATCTTAACTTCAACTTGTCTAAAATAGAAGTCATTTCCCCTTTCCCAATCTCACACCTCTTCCAACCTGTCCTATATCTGTTGAGCATAAGACCATCCTTCCAGCCACTTAAGTTCACAGTCATAGAATCGATCTCAATTTCTTACTCTCCCTCTATCTACATATCTGATCAATTAGATATTCGACCTACCTTTTTATCTTATTAAATGTTACTCCCTTTCATCTATCCTTTGGTTCATAAAACTCATCTGCCTTCCTCATTCATGACATCCTTCCTTCTCTCTCCTTGCCAGGAATTCACTCCCTCTTCACCTCTGCCTTATAAAATTCCTAGCTTCCTCCCAACTCCCACAGGAGACCTTTCCTAATCCTCCAGCTGCTGGTGCCTTCTACAAAAGTGATTTTGTTTTTACTTTGTATACTTTGTACTTATATATTGTTTTCTCTGATAGAATGTACCCTCCTTGAGGCTAGGAACTGTTTAATTTTGAACTTTGTATCCCCTAGAGTCTACTGCAGTGCCTGGCAGAAGGTGCCTAATAAATGTTTGTTGATTGAGCTTGCAGTCAATTTAAACTCCCAATCTTTTCTATAATTGAATTGATTCTAGAACCCATGCTAATACACTGGGTAAGAGACAATGCCTACACATTCTTAGAAGACAGTGGGGATGTTGTTGTTCAATTGTATCTGCCTCTCCATGACCACATTTGGGGTTTTCTTAGCAAAGATAAAGGAGTGGTTTCTCATTTCCTTCTCCAGCTTGATTTACAGATGAGGAAACTGAGGCAAACAGGGTTAAATGGTTTGTCCAGAGTCACACAGCTACTCAGTGTCTGAGACCAGATTTAAACTCAGGAAGATGAGTCTTCCTAAGGCTAGGCACTCTATCCACTGAGCCACAAGTGGGGATACTTGACGTTAAATGGTATGTCATACCCTAAAACCCAACCTCCCCCTACTTATCTATGTAACATTTGATCAGAGTCTGTTTCCTTATTTGCAATTTGAGGATAACTAATTTCACTACCTACCTCATGTGTTCCATAAACTTCAAAATACCCCTCTCCATCCCTTATGAGACATTTATGATCATTTCCTATTTTAAAAAATAGAAAATAATTCACCCTTATAGCACATGGTTTATAAAGCATTTTCCTTACCTGAAACAATCCTTTAAGATCCATGCCAGTATTACTTCCATTTTATAGATGATAATAGGGGGAGAAAGAGACTTTCCTAAAGTCACATGCTTGTGCCAGAGCTAGTATCTAAATTCAATTCTCCTGATTTCAAGATTTGTGCTGTTTCTACTATGCCACATTGCCTTTCTAGGAACCAGGGAAGTCATTTCATCTTGTGGGTCCTGGTAGTTAATTTCAAGCAAGGTGATTTGGGGAAACTTGGAGAGAAGCTACCCAGGTTTTGTTGCCTAGAGGCTTCAGAGAATCTTAACCTGCCAATGCAAGTCAGAGACACAGAGTTAACAAATTGGCTGAGAAACTGAGTCTCAGGAAATACCAATATTTCGGGGATAGAACCAAGGAAGGAAGCAGAAAAGAACATCAGGACAGCAATGTCACAGAAGGGAAGGAAGGAGAGAGTTTCAGCAAATAGGAGGTTCTTCACAGGTGTTTCATACTGTCAAGAGTTCAGGGAGGGCTGAGAAAGGGTAACTGGGAAGCTTGGAGAGAGCACTTTCAGTCAAATAGTGAGTCCAGACACCAGGTTTCTTCCTGTTTTTGTTGTGATGCAGGTGTTTTGGTCATGTCCAATTCTTCATGAACCCATGTTGGGGTTTTCTTGGCAAAGATGCTAGAGTAGTTTGCTATTTCCTTCTCTGGCTCATTTTATAGATGAGGAACTGAGGCAAACAGTGTTTAAATTACTTGCCCAGGGTCACATAGCTAGTAAGTGTCTGAGGCCAGATTTGAACTCAAGAAGCTGAGTCTTCCTGACTTAAAGCTTTATCTATTATGCCACCTAGCTACCCTACTTGTCCTACTTAAAGTCAAAGATACCGTCTCTCCAACTAGATTGCAATTTCCAAAAAGGCCTTCACGGCACATGGCTTATGCTCCCTTTTGTCCCCATGTCCGGATTTGGAAAGGACATGGGTTTAATAAGGATGCTCTTTACCCATAGCTGTTGGTTTAATATTCTTCTTCCCCATAATCAGTTTGGGGAACCAACTTTGATAGCGCGTCTCTTTCATCTGACCACTAGGTGTCTCCATACCACCAGCTAAAAATAAAAGTCTTACTGTAAGGCAGTGATTTCCAAACTTTGTGTAGCAAGCCTTTCTTAACTTAAAAAAAAAATTGTGCCCCTACTTAAACCTTTCAAAAAACAGTATACATTAATAATTTACTTAGCCTATATTTCATTCAAATGAAGTTAGGAATTTATCATATTTTAATAAAAATTTTAAATGTACAGTAAAAATAAAGTAACAGGTACTTGATAAAATCCTTTATAATTTTCATATTTGTATAAAATAATAATAATATTATTATTAATGTGGTGAGTGGGCTCTTAAGGCAAAGTTTCTCGAAACATAGTGTCTCTGATGTTACTGGTACTCGAAATTCTTTTTCCTTTATTGAACTGGATACTGCTTTTGTAACAACTACAGGAGATTCACACACAAAAAGATGTTATGAAGGGTAGTAAAATTTAAATTACTTTGTTTGCTAAACCAGAGAATTCTTTATTTGCCTAGAGTCAAAGCTATAAGATTTTTAGGTTCTAATGCATGTTTCAATGTGTTATCACAAGTTATTTTTCTTAAAATGTAAATAGTATTTTTTTTTTCCAATTACATGTAAAGACAATTTTCAACATTCATTTTTTATAAGATTTTGAGTTCCAAATTTTTCTCTCTCCCTCCTTCCCATCCCCTAGACTGTGAGCAATCTGATGTAGGTTATACACACACACTACAAGTTCTTAGATGGGGTAAAATCATGCAATGGGCATACGCCCATTACGTCACATCCAGCGCCGATGGCCATTTATGTCATATCCGGTGCCTGCTCTTCCAGGTGCCCAAAGGGACTGTGCAGTCTGTGCGGCAGGTGTTCCATCCAGTCTTTGGATCTGGAGGAGGGGGTGAGGGGCTGGAGGAGAGATCAAGTGGTCAGCATCGTGGGGGAGGAGATAGAGAAATATTCTGTGCGCACACTTGTGTTCAGATCATTGAAGAGGACCCATGACATACATGTGACTGATAATGCAAAGCCAGTACAGTTGGATGAAGAGTCACAAGCTGAATATGTCTGTCAAACTTCATACCCAGTATGGTCCTGGGTTGCAAATGCTTATTTTGAAGGAAAATCTTATAGAGAAAGGCTTTCAGAATGCAGTGGATGCATAGGGATATAAATAGCATTCTGCCAATCAAGGACAAGAACTTGAATATTTAGTGACTGGTACATATCCATATCCACCAGGACCTGGTGTGGCTTTGAATGTAGATACTAAGATTCAAAGCATGCCAAGTTGAAGTTGTTGCACAATCTTTAGCTGTGGTCCTATCTCCTTCACAATCCAGGATAGATAGAAATACTTCAGCTAATTAGGTGACGTCTATGGACATGCTGGGCTTCCTGAATATTCAGCTAACCTGGGTTAGCTATGGCTATGATGGAAACTAGTGTCACCAAGAATGCTGCAATGATGCCCAAAAAAGCACCTACCATGCCTAAACTACAGTGGCATCCACCATGAAAACTACACAAAGTCATCAGTGGACATCTAGGCTGAGTCTGATGTATTGCAGTAGAACCTGGAAATCAGTGGTTTGTTACTGGTTCTGCTGACAGGACCATAAAAATCTGGGACCTGGCTAGTGGCAAAGTGAAACTGTCATTGACCAGACAGGTCGGTACTGTGCGAAGGGTGATAGTAAGTGCAAGGAGTCCATACCTATTCTGTGGAGAAGATAAACAGGTGAAGTGCTGAGATCTGGAATAAAATTAGGTTGTCAGACATTATCCCAGACATCTAAGTGCAGTTTATGGTTTGGATTTGTGCTCAACAATTGATGTGCTTATGACTTGTAGTAGACATTCAACTGCACTGATATGGCACACAAGGACAAAAAACAGTGCACACACACTGGCAGGACATAGAAATGTAGTGGCTACAGTAAAGTGTCAAACTGCAGAACCACAGATCATAACGGGAAGCCACAACGGGACCATACAATTATGGGACTTATTGGCAGGACAAATGTGTCAGGTCAACAAATCACAAAAAAAAGAAAAAAAGAAAAAAAAACACAGAGCAGTGGTTTTGCATCCAAGATATTACTCGCTTGCATCTGGTTTTTCAGATAATATTAAACAGTGGAAATTCCCTGATGGAAACTTCATTCAAAGCCTTTCTGGTCACAGTGCTATAATTAATACACTAACTGTGAATTCAGATGGAGTGCTGGTATCTAGAGGGTATAATGGCACTATTCATCTTTGGGACTGGAGAACTGGCTACAGTTTCTAAAAAGTACATGCAGCTGTGCAGCCTGGATCTTTGGACAGTGATCAGGAATATTTGCATATGCCTTTGACCATTCTGGAAGTCATTACTCACTGCAGAAACTGATAAAACCATTAAAGTATACATAGAAGATGATTCAGCAGTGGAAGAAATTCACCCAGTTATCAAGAGAAAGAGTTTTTAAAGTGGTAATATGTACATAATTGCGCCATCGTTTTATTTTGGTGTTTATGAATGCTTTCAGTCACATTGTGCTCTGTATAGCACTATAAAGCAGAAACTCCACAGAAGTCATTACTGCTTCATCACGTTATAATAAGTTGCTTTTTTTAAAAAAAAAAAAGATGGAATAAGATCAAATTTATCATTTGCCTGTACAAATGGGTTCCACTTTCATTCATATTTAGAAATGTCTAGGTTTTGAAAACAAGATGATAATTCTCTCTACTGGTCACGTTTAATAAACAAGATTTCACCTTTTTTCTATTTAATTTACAGGGCATGTGTTTCTTAAAATTAAGAAAAATATAAAACATTTTGTAAATTTATTATCTATAGCTCTGAATTTCTCACAAATGCAGTCACTTTATCTTTCCGGATCAGAGTATGAATTTAAACTCTTAATACTTTGCATTAATTTATTTAGAGTATAATCTCTTTGAGATTATCCACCAAATACACACTTTTCAGGAGGAAATTTTGTTGCGAAATGAATTTGTTTCATCTGTATTATCACTAAGAAAAAAAAAAGGCCACTACTACTTTTAGGTCAAATATCCTTCCTAGTATTTTGTCATAAGAAAGCCAATGGGTTTCAAAATAATACGCAAGTGCTTTATGCTTTTCCTCCATATTGTAACTCAAATTTGCAAAGATCCTTTCTTTTAATGAGCTACTGCTTTTTTCTAATTAGGCACGATTACTGTGCAACTTGGGGAAAAAAATGATATCTAGTTCCACACTTTGATTCCTACGCAGGTAGGGACTGAACTAAATGACTTCTGAGTCTGAGAGCACTTAGAGCCTTCCAGCTCTAAGATTTTGTGATTGACTGAACCTTCAGAAAGGAAAATGGGCCATCACTGCAGGGAGATTTACTGTAGGTTGAGATGACCCAAGGAAGGCTTCCTGGAGGGGAGGAGCAAGTATGGAGGGCAGAAAACACAAGCTGAATTTAGGGAAGGTAAGTGGTCCCGTTTAGCTGAAGCAGCTATGAGGCAGTGGACGATAACAAACATTTGATTCTCCCAACCCTGGAAGGTAGGTACTATTACAGATGAGGAAACTGAGGCAGGCAGTGGTTAACGGACTTGTTCAGGGTCACACAGCTAGTACGTGTCTGAGACTGCATCTGAACTCAGGTCTTCCCGGCTTCTCATACCAAGCTCCATCCGCTGTACCCCTGGCCAAGTACCTGTGCAAGTCTTCCTATACAGTTCTTGCCTCTCTAGGATAAGTTCTTTTCTCTAAGCCCCTAGGACTGCATCATTACTGACAGGGGGCATTCTCTGCGCAGCGTCCGACTATCCGCGGGCTGCGGATCACCCGCTCCTCATTCCCTACACCCCCTCCGGCAGCCGCAGATAACGGAGAGCCGACTTTCGAGGTTCGTAATTTCTCGCACACGCATGCGGGGCACGTTGCCGCTCCCCTAGGGCTGCCCGACACAGTGCCTGACGAAAAAGAACCAGCTTTCGCGGAGGTTGTAGCTCGTTACATCTCGTCTGCTCCAGGGCTGGCTTGGGCAACCCAGGACCCTGAGACAGGACTGGGTGCGGACGAGGAAAGGGGACTCTAACGGGGTGGGCGCAGGGGGGCCTTGCGGGTTCACGATGCGCGGAACTCAGGCGAACACCGACGCCAGGCCCGGCTCGGGAGCGGGTCCTCGGCCCGTAACGCTGAACAGGCGGGGAGGGGCGGGGAGGGGAAAACGTCGGGGCTTCCGGTGGCGGCAGCGGCGGCGGAGGCGACGCGGCCATGGCGACATCTGCAGGTTAGTTGGGTCCGGCCTGAGCGCAGCGGGAAGGGGTGGGAGTCCCGTGGGCAGCCTTTACGCGCCATGTTGTCTCTCCCCGGCTGCCTCTCAAGGGCTGTGGGTCATCTGGAGGGAGGAGGGGTTGGGGGTGAAGGGAAAGCCCTCTTCCGACGCAAGCGCATAACTCCGGGCGCTGCTCCTCACTACCACCAGCATCCCCTTGGGCGCAGGCGCAGGAGGTTCCCTTCCGTCCCCTGGTGCGCCCCCCCTCTTCCCGGGGCAGTGGGCTGGCAAATGTCAGTCCCTGCCCTGAAGGGGCAGCGGGGAGGCAGGACTCCAAGGAATGAGAGAGAGCCTTCTTTCAAGCCTTCATGCGGATTATCCGCAGATTCCTGGGTTTTCCTCACTGTCAGTCGGGTCCCGGAGAGGTAGGGGGCACGTGTATTGCATGGGGACTCCGGCAGTAGCTTGTTGTTGGAGAGGATGGAAGGACCTACGATCTGGGAGCCACTCTCCTTCTCTAAGCCTGTGTATCTTCGTCCGTGAAATGAGAGCAGTAACACATGCCTTGGGATGTTCCTATGAATGTCAAGTGAAAGAATTTCTGAAACCTTAAAGCTGTAAGATGCAAGCCATCACTGAGTCCACGATTATGTGTATGGGGGATGGGGGTGGGAGAATAGCTTCTCTTGTTCTTTTTATTGTGTAATCCTGGATGAGTCACTGCTCCCTCTCCCTGGGCCCCAGATTTACTTCTGTGACTTGCTTGCTGACTGGCCTGAAAGTATTGGCAGTACTATAGAGAAGTAGAAAATAGAGGCTTTATGGAGGATATTTTTTATGGGAAGGAGCGTTGTACATCCTGTAGGGAAATAGTAATAATAATTAAAGACTCATAAATCTCAAACTGGAAAGAGCCTCGGAGGCCTCCTCGTCTAGATCTATTTATTTTACAAATGAAACTAAGAGGGAGATTAGGTGTCTTTTCCAAGGTCAGACAGGTGGTAAATATCAGAGGTGGCTCTTTATATAATGCTTTTAGGTTTGCAGAGTCATTTCCTTATTACTGGCTTGGGAGATAGTTAAGTTTTGTTATCTCCACCTTACAGATAAAGCAACTGAGTCACAGCTGCTAGAGTTACTTGGGAGAGTTTCAGTGCCGGTTCCGTACGTCATAGTATCATAACATCGTAATATTGGAACTGTAGAGCAAGAAGGGAACTTCATTTTGCAGAACCAGGCCTAGAGAGGAAATGTCCCAGGCTCATATAGTAAGTCTATAGTAAGTAAGTTGGGGCTAGAACCAAAGTTTCCTGACCCTTAGCCTAGTTCTCTTCTTCCTACGCTATATTGACTCTCTCATCCTGAGTCAGGCTGTTGGTCTGCCTGTCCAACACAGCAGCAATTTTATTCACACCAATTAGCTATATACGTTGGAGTAATTTTGTGAGTAAATAGTTTTAATGTAGAGTGGAATGGTATAATGGCTTTGTTTTGTTGTGGTTGGCCGAAAGCTATTGGGAAACAATACAGTTTAGGGTCACTAGAAAAGTGATAAATGCTATTGAGCTGTAATATTAAAGAGAGAAGTAAACCCCCTCTAGTGGTGCATTAAGCAAGAAAATAAATACCTTTGTCTCATTGCTACCTAATATATTGCCTAATATATAGGCACTTAATATTTATTGATCAATTAATTATTGATTTATTGATTGCTGCTTAGAACACAGCTATGCTCCATGAATGTCTGAAAGGACACTGATATTCTAGGCCAGAGGTGTCAATTATGTGGCTATGCAACATTGTCAGATGTGGCCCAAACCAGATTAAAATGTATTTGGGAAATATTTAACAAAATAAATAAAAATTCAATAGCATATAGGTCGTGCTAATATGTGATTTTCTAAGTCAGTTTACAGCTGCAAGGAATCCTTATGTATGGTTTAGTGGCCCCCTTTTTATTTGAGTTTGACATCACTATTTAACCTTCCCCCAGCTTTACTTATTCCCCGTCCTTGCTGAGTAATACATTAATACCAGCTGGATTATGAAGCTTATTTTATTTTGTTTCATAGCTTGCCTGTCTCCTTGGTATGAGGGCAACTAGGAAGTTGAATGGGATGGTCAAGTCATAGCACTTTTCAGAATAAGTTCTTTTATTTTTAAAGGAGACAGCTGAAAAGTCTGGAATATTAACTGAATTTGCAGATAGAGTTGTAAAGGCATGGGCATAGAGAGAGAGACACAAAGGGAACAGGATTGTGTTTTTTGTTTTGGTTTTTTTTTAGTACTTTTTCTGTTTTTCTTATTAGACCTTTATATTTTCCCTAGAGGTAGTAGAGGTAGAATCTAGGACATGGTTCAGTCTCAGTCCCAAGAAACAGATCTACTTTGTGTTTCTATTATGAAAATTCTTGTTTTGTCTGTTGCAGAGGTCTGTAAAGTGTTGAGAGAACTTCTGTCTGTCCTCACTTGATGCTGCTCAGCCAGCCCTTCACCCCTTTCTGCAGCATTGTCAAAGACTGTGTCAGAAAGTCTCTTCAACATTATGGCCAGGATACAGAAAATATGAGGTCTTTCATTTTAGCTAACGGGCAGTTAAACATTGGTCCATTCTTTGGAAAACTTAGCTGTGGTTCTGTTTATCAAGTTAAATAAATATCAAGGATCACCTTTGATAGCTTTATTAGCAAACCACAGAAGGGAAGTTTTACTAGCATCTGTAAAATACCTTTTAAAGATAAATCTTAACCTGACTTTTTCTCTTGCATTCTTCCAACTAGACTTTGGAATTTTCACATTCCACTTAAGATCTTTCTCTGTGGGAATATTAGGCATCATGTGCTACTAGACTGTGACTTCATGGATTAGGAATTCTTTGAAATTCAGAGTGTGCTTGAAAAACAAGAGGAGCCCAACAGAGAGGATAGTGATAGCATTACTCTAGATCACATATAGAAAAGCCAGAGGACACCAGTTAAAACATAGCATTGTTAAATTTCTTTGTATGTAGACTTGCTGGTGAAGGCCTCGTTCCCCTCTCCCATAAAGTTGCCGTCATTGGTTGGGATTATGGCTGCCAGCAGAAATGATTAATTGGAAAATAAATGCATAGCAAATGACTTGTTTGAAAACAATCTAGTCCTATCACTGTCCCATTCTAGAAAGTTATTGCTGTCACCTGCTCCCTTAAGTAACTCTTTCCCCCAGTCCTTCCACATACTACCATCTAAGACAAGAAAAAAGATATAGGCCATGTTAATGGGACACCCTGAATCGGTGAGAGAAGACACACCCTTTTACATGCACAGTGCTATTAGGTGCCCAGGAAATATTCAGTAGGAGAAAAGGACAGTGAGTGATTGTTGATGTAACCATAGGATACTATATTTAATGATATTTTCAAATACTAAAAATGTGGCTACTTTGTGCGATTCGGCTGAGATGTCTCAGAGTTCCCCAGGAATCTGTGCTTGTCCCTGGGGCTGTTAAAATTTTTATCAGTGACTTGAATAAAGGCATAGATGGTATGCTTATCCTATTTGCAGAGAACACCCAGCTGGGAGTGACACTAACACAGTGGATGACGGTCAGGATCCAGAAGGGTCTTGACAAACAAGAACATTGGGCTGAATCTAATAAGATGAAATTCAGTAGAGATGAACATAAAGTCTTACACTTGAGCCTGAAAAATCAGCCACAGAAGTACAAGATGAGGGAGGCATGTTCTGAAAAAAAAATCTGGAAGTTTTAGTACACTACAGGCTCCATGAATCAGCACTGGAATGTGGCAGCAAACGACAGCAGCAAAACCTAATGCAGTCTTGGGCTGCATTGAGAGATATAACTTATAGCAATAGGCAGGTGATAATCTCACCTCAATTTATTCTGCCTTTATCAGTCTCATCTGAAACACTGTGTTCAGTTCTGGGCAGATAGAGCTATATTGATAAAGATATATTGATAACCTGGAAAGTATCCAGAAGAAGGCCCTTAAGCTGATGAAGATTTCATTAAGTAGTTATACAAGTTTTGGTATGCTCACAATTCTTTGAGAACCGTGAAGATACCTCAGAAGTTTTTGAACATTGATGTCTAAATCTGCAAAGGTTGACAGGTTTCAGAAAGAGCTGTTTTTCTTGGATGAGCAGTCTTTCAGACATGATAGCAATCTGGTTCATTTAGGCTAAGAAAGACTTGTCCAGTGTTTCAAGAGTTCCATGTTTGCCTGCTTCTTACTTACTCAGCCTCTGTTGTAAGGATCTGTAAGTGTGACTTGAGAATTAGCCTGTCATAGAATGTTAGAACTGAAGGATTGGAAACCATAATTTCCAATTCCCCAGAAGGGTTCAATTATCAATTCAAGGCTACAAAAGTGGTAGCAGAACCAGAATGAATATACCATTCTTTTGTCTTTTCCTCCTAGAAAAAAGTGGGTTCAGTAGAATTCTTTGGGGTTCATCTGTCAGTAATAAGGGAGGATAATATGATAAATTATAGGCTACTTTTAGAGACATTTGGCATGAGAGATTTACTAGCATTACCTGCATGGTAGTCACCCTATTAGATCCTTAAAGTGGTGGGTGAGGATCTTTATACTCAGAGTAGTAGCTTCCGTTATGACTGAGGGATATGAATTTGTAAAAGAAAATGGCACGTCCTTTGACCCCACCTATGGCTTTGGCAGGTGAACAAATGCCTAGTAAGGTATATAAGCCTAGGGACAGATCATAAGTGTAGGAGAGTTCTGAGTGTTGTGTTTTATTGGTTACCTGACTAAATGAAGAGGTGGAGTTTAGGAACAGGAAGTATGGAAGGAAATATAGGAATACGTAATCGCTCTTGGTGAGATCTTGGTTCTAGAGAAGCCTGGTTTCAGAGAATAGCCAACAGTTTGATCCTCTTGAAGTTATAAAGGCAGGTTAACTCATCCAGGGAAGTTGGTGCTTAAGATAAACCCTATTCATTTCAGTCAGCTCATTGGTTCCCCAAAAGAAGGGTCAG